CCCGCGCTTCTGCCTGCCGGAATCTGGATGCAGGTGCGCAAGTTTGAGAAGCAGAGCCCGGACGTGGTCGCCGCCCTCACCAACTCTTTCGGAATCGACAAAGAGAAGGCGAACGGCCTGTTCTGCTTCCCGCGCATGGAGGCGAACTTCAAGTGGACAAGCGCCAACAAAACGCACCGGGTCAAGAGGTTCGGGTACGCGCTCGCGCACGGGCGCTCCCTGACATCCACCGCGTCACAGGGCCAGGCGATCCGCACCGGGGTGGCCATCGACTGCGCGCAGGACACGAGCATTGGCAAACCGGAGGAAAGAGGGGAGACCTGGTGGCTCCACCTGTACGCGATGCTCAGCGGAGCTACTTGCATGGAAGACATGCTCTTGCTTCGGCCGCCGCCACGGGGGGTCTTGCAGAAGGGCCCACCTCCGTCCGTGCTCAAAGCCCTCCAGAAGTTTGACGAGCGCATGGCTACGGGGACGCGGGAGATCGAGGACCTCGCTCTGGAACGCCAATGGATCTTGCCGGCGGCGTGAGGCCATTGGAGCGCACGGCCGCCAGAGTCTTTCCGACGAAGGCAGCGCTGTCCAGCCGCGTCGAATTCGCGCGGCCCGCGCCGCTCCTGGACGATTTCGGAGCGTCCGCCCAACTTTGGGTGTCGCGGCAACCGCAGCCCAGAGATTTTCCATCGAAGGGCACTCGCATTTTGCACGCAGGCGGGCCATGTTTGCCATGCAAGTCTTTTGCGCGCGCACCTCAGAGTTTCTCCGTCGAAGAGACGCGGCGACAGACGTGTGGAAACTGCATGAGACTAGAAAAGGTGGACCGACCGAGGAAAGAAAGGGAGGCAAGGGTGCGGAAGAACCCAGCATGAGGCGAGGGAGAAACGATAATTCTAGGGGGTTCCGCAGAGCAGCTGTGCAATGGGTGTGATTTGGACTAACTTCCACAGTGGGCACCCTGACTACTCGAGCTGTGACAAATTGTTCTGCATCACCAAATTGCCTGTTGCGACCCCAGGAAACGGCCCTCGGTGACCACCCGAACCTTTTCCCGATGAAGGATGGAAGGCGTGGAAGAGGGAGGATGTTCCATCAGTAGTGTGATGGATGACAATATAGGGAAACATTCGCGACGAGGGTGTAGAACGCAGGATTGCGCATAGATGATAATGAAAAGCAAACACATAAGATTTAACTTGAGTATGTGGGGGTTCCTCGGTAGCGTAATGGTCGTCTCACGGGTTTCGTGGCCCAACAAGAAAGGAACCTGTGAGACCACCCGAAAGCAAAATAGCAAAGAACATATGAGACTACCGAGAAAAAACAACAATCAAAGGTTTTCGGGATCCGAGGCGGTGGGGGGGGAGGGGAGGGCCGAACTCCTGCCGGGTTTTCCTGGTCGGAACCTGGAAACGTGTGATGTTTGTCTTTCAGGTGGTATCACAAGCTTTGTTGGTTTTGTTGCTAATCTCACAGGTTTCGTGGCCCAGCAGTAACTCACCAGTGAGACTACAAAAAACAACCCCAATGACAGGTTTTCCAAATCCGAGGCGGGGGAGCACGGCAGGAGTCCCCTCCCTCCCCCCACCTCCCGCCTCGGATCCCGAAAGCCTTTAGTTTGTGTTTTGGGAAGTGTCGCATGTTTTGACTGTGTCGTTTAGCACTGCCATTGAAGAACAGATCACGTCCAACGGGAAACGCTTGCGCGAAGGAAATGGCCCCCTCTTCTTCCACCCCTGTCTCTCTCTCTCTCTCCTCCTTTGTTGTGTCTTCTCTTTTTTGGTGTGTCTCTCTCTCTCTGTCTATACATGTATACAACAATATGACATAATAAGAATCGGTTGGAGCCCATAAGAACCAACCTGAATCAATAGTAATCAACAAGAATCAGGCGAAATCGCTAGAAATCAATCGGAAATATCCGGAATCATTCGGAATCCATCGGAATCACTAAGAATCAATCTGGACCTATAAGAGCCAGTAAGAATTTATGATACTCGAATGGGGTCGGTAGGAATCAAGGAATAAATAGGCATGGATATGAAGCAATAGGAATCCATAGGAATCAATGCGAATACATAAGAATTAACATGACTCAGCAGTAATCAATAGGAACTAACATAAATAAATAGTAACCACTAAGAATCACTAGGAATCAATAGAGATCACGTGTAACGAATCGGAGGCAACCGAAATCGATAGGAATCACTAGTAACCATTCGGACCCAATAAGAATCAATGAGGTTCACTAGAACTCAAACAAATCAAACCCAACAGGAAGTGAATCATCCTTGTCACTCTCACCAAACATCCAAATACATCGCGGTCGAGAAGAAAAACAAGTAGGCGAGGAGAATAACATATAGGGTGAGGTAGGTCCCTGTGAGCGGGTACCATCTATATGTGTACAAAGATACACGCACGTATAGAAACAGCAACCTTTAAACATACATTCGGTCAGATTTCTTCCATTTCCGCGCGCGCACTCCCTCACCATCGCCCCCATCAACGCCTCCGCATCTCGTTATCGTCATCGGCAATCGGCGCCGCTGCCGCCGTCAGCCGTCGGCACATGGACATCATCATCGCCAGCGTCGTCATCAACATGCGTCATTGGCCTTGCCGCCGTAATGGATATCATCGCCACCGCATCGCTACTATCATAATATTTGCCGCCATTGTCGGCGTCACCTTGATATAGCGCCCTCGAGTCATTGACCCGCGCGCCAGCGCGGCTTGTGAGGAACGCTGGGAAGTTCCCATCAGTAAGCGCCATCGCGGCTATGCTGGCGGTGCCAAGCCAGCTGGCTGCTCTGCGTGAGAGCTTGCGGGCGCTTGCGCAGCCGCAGAGATGCGCCAATCAGTGCCAAGTAGTTACCGCAATCTCGGCAACAAGGGTAGCGCGAAACAAAATGCGGGTGCGGGCGTGGCATGCTTGCGCGAGCAGTGGAGTTGAAGCTGTAAATTTCTGCAAGGCGGATTGCGCCACGTAGCTTGCGCCACATCGCTCACACCACATAGATTGCACCACAAAATATTGCGCCATAGAGCCTTACAATACATTGCTCACGCCGCGGACCTTCTCCTGCAGGAGAAAAATACCCCCCCCCAGATATTGCAAATTACGTGTGCTCCTGCCCCATCGCTCGCTATCCATATGCAACCATACCGTCCCAAGAGGGCCAGGCATCGATCCCCCCCATCCCTGTCAAATAACGCCATGCGCGCTCGTTAACCTCGAGAGATAATGTCTCAGGGAGGCACTCGCACCAAAAAAACAGAGTCCAGACGCGCACGCACATGTCTAACTAATCTTAGATACCATAGTTTCGCAACCATCCAGCAACCTTAGACATGTCTTCAGAGCGTTTTAGCTTTCTGCCCGCGAAATCGCTGAAATCGCTTGAACATAACATGTGTGTTGTGCAATCCCGTCCAGAACCCGCATTCTCATCTCACCACGCGGTACATCCGCGTTGATCCAGCATGCGCCCAATGTACGAATCTATGTCAAATAACACCCTGCGGACCAGAAGTGCGCGCCGCCACGCGCGCGTGCCGAAATCCCTCCAACACCATAGGTGTTCGAAGCGTTTCAAACCAGAGCTCTTCAACAACACATCATAGAACCGCTGTTTGTCAACAACAGGCCTGCTCAATTTCTTGCATTTCCGTGCGCGCGACCTCCCTCACCGTATCTCACCGTCGCCCTCATCAGCGGCATCGCATCACCACCGTGATCGTCATCGCCAATCGCAGCCATTGCCGAAATCATCCCTCAACCACTTTCAACGCGGACATATGGATATCATCATCGCCGTCGTCGTCGTACCATCATCGGCGTTTTCAGTTGCGGTGCCGTCGTCATTGTCATTACCGCCACCACACGCGCTACTGCCATCATCTTGGCCGCCGCTGTCGGCGTCATCATGGTATCGTGCCCGCCCGAGTCACCGACCCGCTCTGAGATGCGCTGGGAAGTTCCCGTCGGCAAGCGTCACCGAGTCAGCATCAACTGTGCCAAAAGTTGGATGCGATGCGCGCGACGTTGCGCGCGCGCCAGCGTGGCCGCAGAGATGCGCCGGCCAGTGCCGAACAGATCCATCATCGTGGCCGCATGAGTCGTGCAAAACAATTTGCGGGTTGGAGGGTGGGATGATTGCGCGAGCAATGGAATTGACAGTCCATCTAGTCATCAAATGATGTAATTCCGATGTCAACAAAAAACATTGACTCCACCACCCTCCCCCCTGGCCTATCTGCCCCATCGCCCATTTTGCATATGAGCTCACAGAATCCCAATACAACGGGGCATTGCCCCCCTTTCAAGAAAAGGCACCAAGCCCACACGCGCGCGCACATCAAAATCACCCCCAGCACAATCAGTTGACACACAATGCATCTGAATAACCTCAAGCCACCTCAAGTTTTCCATGAGAAAAAAGGCTGCAGCCACATACAAACGATTAGCCAGCCCTGCGCCCTACTTTAGCCCCCTACTCTAACCACATCAGCAAAACCCCGCTAGTCAGGTAAGCGGGGGGGAGGACTGTTTGGGATGGGCAAGTGCGAGGCGGGGATCTATCCAACTCCACCACCCGTGGAACCGACGTCCTGGGACCCCAGCGGGCCGTGGATATGGATATGTTTGGGCACCAGGAGGCCCGAACATATCTCCCATATCTACCGCCTGTCGAGGTCTCCGATAATCGGTCCTCCAGGCGGTGGTTACGGCCAAGCCTAAGGCAGAAAACCATCCTTTAAGAACACGAGACCCACCGCCGGCCAAAACACACAGAACATCCAAGGGTACCCTCCCCTGGATGCACAAGAACATCCAACAAACACGAATAATATTAGGGTACCCTCCCCGAACCGACCTCGATCGTATACATCGGTCCGACTGTATGTATGAATCCCCGCCTCGGAACAGGAGCCGCTGCCGGCTTCGATCCCTCCTGCGCCGAGCTGGGCGGCGACGGGGGAGGCGGCGCCAGCGGCGCCTCGATGCAGGCGATAAAGAAAAGGCTGGCGTACCTCGGGAAGGGGGGAGGGGGGGCAGGGGAGGGCAGGAGGGGGGGCGGGGGCAGGAGGAGGAGGAGGGGGAGGGGGGAAGCAGGGGAGAAGGGGGGAGATGAGGAAGGGACGGGGATGGTGAGGGGGGAGGGGAGGGGGAGGGGAGGGAGGGAGGGGGGGGAGGGGAGGGGAGGGAGGGGAGGGGAGGGGAGGAGGGAGGGAGGGGGGGGGGAGGGAGGGGAGGGAGGGGAGGGGAGGACAGGGAGGAGGGGGGGGCGCAGGGCAGGGGAGGATGAAGGCAAGGAGGGGTGACAATGGACAACGGATTGGCCTGCCTCCAAAGACGCAAGCTCAGGCAAGGAACACGACGACGAGGACGACTGCGGCGACACGACGAGCGACAGTGACAACGACCGGCGGCTGCCCATAACCGCGATGCACTGGAGCACGCACAGGAACGCCCCGTCCTGTATGGCGAAACGGCGCATGCGCACACAGGCGGGGGGAGGGGAAGGAAATGAGGACGAAGTGGTGAAAGATTCTGGGATTCTGGGTATGACGCGCAACGAAACCAGCGTGTTCCGCGAAGTAGGGAGCAAGAGGAAAAACAGGTATCAGGGATCCAAATGGACGAGGTGGAGGAGGATGAGGAGGAGGAGGAAGAGGAGTAGGAGGAGGAGCTAGATGACGTCGCCCGCCCCTAGGGCACGTACCAGGAGGGTCTGGCCGGCCGCTGAGAGCGGCGAGGGAGGGGCCGCAGGGGCAAAGCCACGAGGGCACCGAAGGAAACCCGTGAATCCGCATTACGAATCTGGGCTGTGGGAGCCGCGGGGCGCCCCCAGACACCCAGTGACGCAACAGGACCACAGGAGATGATGTGAGCCAGTGTCCATCTCAGTACTTCCTTCGCGCGGATCTTTTGCCTCGGGATGGCGCGGCAGCGTAGCTTCGCGACGTGCCTGCCCAGACGCGCGGCACTTCAGATCCGTCCTACCAAAACGTGCGGCACTTTGTATCCTTCCTGCCAATACGTGTCGTACGAGATGTGGCCCAAGTGAACGGCACGACACAGCGCAACACACATGCCGTACCAGTTCCAGAGCTCGCATAGCACAGCAGATCATAGCAAAACCTTGGATTGTCAACCTGGATAGCATCGCGTAGCATAGCATTGCAAGACATTGGGATGCCCACCATCGGGGTAGCATAGCATACCACAGCATCACAGCACAACATGGCAAGACCTCAGATTGCCCATCCGGATATCGTATAGCACAGCATCACATAGCGAGACCTTGGGACTCCCATCGCATAGCATAGCCCATAGCGGGAGGGGAGGGATGGCGGCAACATCGCTCAGCAGAGCCATCGTCATCATGTCATCATCGATCCTCGACCGTCCTCCCCCAGAAGACTTCGAACCCGATTCAGCCGTGGCGGTCTTGGCGCTGCATCGGCCGAGGACCGATGATGATTGCATATGACAAAGACGATGATGACTTTGGTGGGACGATGGGGACGGCGCGCTTACAGGGTCCAGGACTTTTCCCCTTCTCATGCTCCTCTCTCTCAATCTCTCTTCCCCGTTACACTTTTCCTCATGATCCTCACACCACTTCGCGTTCTAACGTTGCCGATGGACACTTGTACACATGATGACATCTAGGAAACATGAGGGCGTCTTGGAAATCTGTGAGGTTTTGGAAAGACGAGGGCGCCCTGGCAAATTGGGGGCGCGGAGGAAACAAGCAGGGCGGATTGGAACGAGGAGGAAGGGAAGGCGAGGAAACGGAGGAATCTCATACAACTTAGGACAGGTATCAGGAGAGAAGGAGAGAAGGGGGAAGAGGAAAAAGAGGAGCCTGAGGACCAGACAGCGGACAGAGGATGAGGAGAGGAAAGGAGGATGATGATGCTTGCCAATGGTAGCCGACATGATTTCAAACACAAGAGTAAACAAACCAAAATGCTAACACACGGCTTAATTCTAACATGGCAACAATTGGAAATGGGTCCGCAAACGTTTGAACGATGGGGTCGTGGGGATGGGAGGGTAGGAGGAATGCTGGAATCTTCGCGCTGACTCAACGATGGATTTGTTGCATATGGTGTAAGGGATAGCCATGCTCGTCCTATGGAAGATGGAAGCCCTGCCCGGCAAATTTCCTCACCACGCCCTGAGAAGCAGCTGGCCGCATCGCAGCCACCGCTGCATACTCCGATCGGCATGCTGGCACCCTCGCCGCCGAGGCTGTGGCCCTGCAGACATGCCACGTGACGTCTCGAAGCGGCGAAGATTCGGAATCAACTCGCCGTCGTTCTGCACAGCGGGGCCGTGGCCTTTGACCAGTGGTGCAACACTCTGCTTGGCAGCGCGCACAAGGGGGTGGAGGGAGGGGGGAAGGGTTCTTAGAAGGAGGCTGCTTCTTAGAAGGCGCCGGCCTTAAATCTATAGACAAGGCCCGCGCCTTCTGAGCAGCAGGGGTGCTTCTAAGAAGCCCTCCCCCCTCCCCCCACCCCCCTCTGAGTGGCTGACCTGCCCTTCGGGCTGCACGGAGCCAGAACTCAAAAGCGAGAGCCCTCGCCACAACCACGGGCGGCGCACGGCCTCCTGGTGGCACGCCACCGCCGCAGCCGCCCGACGACCCCGACGACGACCGGGCCAACCAGTGGCCCGAAATAAACGACGAGGACACGTTCAGCTTTGGGGAGGAGGAGGAGGAGGAGGAGGAGGAGGAGGAGGAGGAGGTTGGGCCAGAACGACGACGGCACCGACAGCAGTGCTGCGGCTCTTTGTGTACAGGGCGGCCGCGCGGGGACCCATCACGGCGCTGGCCCAGGCCCCCAGGCTCCTCTTGCAGAACCAGCTGGCGACGCTCCCGTCGCAGCCTGGGGCCGTGACCTCCCACCCCCCGACGAGAACGACCCCTTCGGCCTGAACGGAAACGAGGATAACGACGACGACCCCCAGACGGGTTCGGCGAAGCTGATCCGCGGCAGCCCCAGCGTCCCTACCGCCGCCATGCCCCTCCTGGCCACCCCAGCCCCCGACAGCACGTGCGAACGCCTCCCCGCTTCTGTGAGTCGCCAGCCTGCCGCGGCGTTCCGGCCGCCCGGCCCCTCCGAAAGCCCCATCTGCGCGGTCAAACCCGCGCCAGCGGCCACCCAATCCCTCGAACCCCCGCGCCCTCGGGCACCGCCGCAGCGCCATGACTACCCGCCCCGCTGCCGTGGCCGAGACGGTCCCCAGCCGTGCGGCGCCGCCATCGCGACTGGCCGCCCTCAAACACAGATATACTCAATCGGGCTCGACCGCCTGGGGCGCCGTCCGCCAAGGCCACCGGGCCGCCGCCGCCTTTTCCACCGCGTGGATGGCGTCCGCTTCGGCCGCCGCCAGCTCCGCCTCTCCGGCGCGGCGGTAAGGCTGCCCATGTCACCCCGAACGTTTCTGCCTCACCAGCTCGTCCGGGGAAAGCCGCTTCGCCATGGGTGCTGCTCAGCCCGCCCAAGGAGAGGTCCCTCGCCGTTGCCTCGTGCGTCCGCCAACCGCACCAGGGATCGGCGTACCGCCAACGCGAAAACTTGCCGCGCAGAGGCGCTGCACTGTGGCCGCCGGCCGCGTCTTCTCCATCAATCGTGCGTCCCCCCGTCGGTCGGACCCCAAGAGCGCCTCGGGCTCCATCTGTTGTGCTCCCGACCCAAAGAGGAGCGGAACCGTTCGCGGGCCTCGTAGCCGCGGCGGCAGGACATGCTCGTCCGATGTCGGTGTGTGTGTGTGTGTGAGTGTGTGTGTGTGTGTCTGCGTGTTTTTTTTTTTTTTTTTTTTTTTTTTTTTTTTTTTGTTTTTTTTGTTTCTATTTTTCTCTCTCTCTCTCTCTCCCTCTCTCTCTCTAAATACATTTGCATATGTATCGTTGTTGAATGTTTTTTGTTTCACTCTCTCTCTCTTTCTCTCCCCCTCTCTCCCCTGTTCGCTCTTTCTCTCTCTCTCTCTCTCTTTCTCTCTATTCCTCTTCTCCCTGCGCCACGCCCACCTCGTTCTGGGATCCCCTGCGGCCGTGGTGTGGCGGTTGCCCTGGGCGCCTCTTGTAGCATAGCTTGTAGTCGCGCCATTCGAGGAAATTGCACACCTCGCAGAAAGGGGGCATCCCTTCTGGCTCTTCCTTCCTTTCCTTCTTGCTGATATTCCTCCTGCTCCTCTTTGGTTTCTTCCTCTCACGTCCTGCTCGTTTTCACAAACCTCCCTCCTCCTCCCTCTCCTCCATTTCCTCCTTCCCTTTTCCCCCGCGTCATTATCTCTCCTCCTCCTCCTCCTCCTCCTCCTCCTCCTCCTCCTCCTCCTCCTCCATCCCCCTCCTCTTGTCTCCCATGTCCTCGATCCCCTTCTCAATCGTCGACCTTCTCCTCCTCCTCCTCCTCCTTTTCTTCCTTTTCCTGCGTCTCATCCTCATCGTTCGCTCCTTGTCCCTCCTCCTCCTCCTCCTCCTCCTCCTCCTCCTCCTCCTCCTCCACTTCCCACCCCGCCGCCACCTCCTGCACTCCCTCCTCTCCTGCCTTATTTTCCTTCTGTTCTCATCATCACCATCACTACTATCACCATCGTCACCATGTCCTCAAGGTCATACTGATACTCAACATCACCATCGCCATTATCATATGTTCGCCCTCTGTTGTCCTCCTCCTCCTCCCTCTCTCCATCATGTTTTTGTTGCCTTCCTCGTTCACCCTGCCTCTTCATCATCACCACCAGCATGATCATTGCCCTCCCGCCCACTCCCTTTATATCATTTATTCTCCTCCACTTGCTCCTCATGGTTCTCACCTTCCTCCTCCACCACCTCCTCCTCCTCCTCCGCATCATCATCATCATCATCATCATCATCATCATCATCATCATCATCATCATCATCATCATCATCATCATCATCATCATCATCATCATCCCCCTCGTCATCATCATCATCATCATCATCATCATCATCATCATCATCATCATCATCATCATCATCATCATGCACCTGCTCCTCCTGCCCCCCCCCAGGACGGAGGGGCGGAACGCGCCCTCGGATAAGTGCCCTGTGGGCCTCGACAGGCCCCCCCAAAGGGGGGGAGGGGAAGGATGGGGAGGATGAGGAGGAGGAGGAGGAGGAGGAGGAGGAGGAAAACGAGGAAAAGGAGGAGGAGGAAGAGGAGGAGGAGAGGGAGGGACGGAGGGAGGGAGGGAGGAGGAGGAGGAGGAGGAGGAGGAGGAGGAGGAGGAGGAGGACGGGGAGGAGGGCGAGGAAGAGGTGGGGGATACTACAATGTAACAGAATACGCAATGGAGCTCCTCGCCTGGACAAGGCGACATTCGAAAGCTCTGCGCGCTGCTTCTGCAATTGGATGGCCAAACGATTTCGCAGACGGCCTGTCGAGCGCCGCCCGCGCTGCCCCATACCCGGCGGACCTCCACAGTTGGCGCGCAGAGGAGGGTGCCAAGCGTTGGGGGCCAGCTTTGCACCCCTGCACCTTCTCGAACGAGCCTGACGGGTCGAGCGTAAATTTCATCTGCCTGTGGCTCGGGGTTTGGAGCGGGGGGAAGGCTCAGAAGCGGGAGAAACACGATCAGGCCTGCCCGAAGGCGGATTGACATCCGAACTCCTTCCCCGACCACTCCCCACTCCACGACCGCGGCGACCACGACCCCTCCTTTTCCCTTTAGTCTGCACCGCACGTGGGTGCACCATCACAGGAACCTGCGCCAAAAAGGGGTCTGAATAAGTGGAAAAACACAACCGTTTGTTCAATAATGTTTCTGGAAACTCGACCCTGTCTAGTGAGGCCCTGAAGTCCCCCCGAATTGGCTAGCATCGAGTTGGCAGGGGTGGCTAAGCGGCGGGAGGCGAGAGCCCCTATATATTCAGGAGTCAACGTCGGTGCCGAATTAAAGTTCGTCGAGCTCCCACGCTGCGCCTGCCCACCATCCACCACACTTCCACCGAACTGCGCCCCACTCAGCGCCTGATCTGCGATGCCACCCAGCGTTCCGTCGGCCCCCGCGGGGCTGGTCCAGGAAGCTGCTCTGTTTTCTCCACGTCCTTGAGATACTCCTGCTGAATGGGCCAAAGAGTCCTGGCTGCAGGGGGTCCTGCATATTCAAGTTGATGGTGAGCACGCCCTTGCGCTCCACGTCCATATCCTGATCCTCCCCGCCCTTCAGCTCCCGCGCTTTCACATGTAGTTGGGCACCAGGAGGCCGAGCAGCTGAGGCGTCTGCTTCTCTACCACCTCCGCCCAGAACTCGGAGAGGGCCGCGTGACCACGCTCGTGCGGGTGGCTGCCGTCCTTGGCGACCTTCCCGATGGCGCGCCTGATGCTGTGGATGAAAAAGCGCCGCGTGCGGGTCGCCTCTGGACTTCCCGTCGACCTTGGTCCCCTCCTTCTGGCGCTCTTTCATATCCTTGCTTGTGTTGGGAGGAGGAAGAAGCGAAGGAGGGGGAGGAGGAGGAGGAGGAGGAGGAAAAGAAGGCGGAGGAGGAGGAGGAAGAGGAGGCGAAGGAGGAGGGAAGGGAGGAGGAGGCGGAGAAGGAGGAAGAAGAGGGAAGGAGGAGGGGGAGGAGGAGGGAGAGTGGATGAGGAGGAACAACAGGA